GGGGGGGCACAGCGATATGATCAATAAACTCACGGTGGGGTTGTGATGGCGGGCGGGGAAGGTGGGAAGCGCAAATGGCGAAGTCAGACAGACAGACAGACAGACAGACATAGACAGACAGACAGACAGACAGGCAGACAGACACAGACAGGCAGACAGACAGACAGACAGACAGCAAAGCAACGCACGCACAAAAGGGCTCCTTCGTCTATCGCCTATCATCCTATGCAGTCACCACGAGAAGGCAATGGAACTAGAACTGAAACCCCGCAGAACAGTACCCCCTCCCGCACCCCCCCAACACGGTTTTAAACCCCTTCGGCTCCATTCATCTCGTGCCGTACCCATGCCGTACCCCATGCCGTACCCCATGCCCTCACCTGCACCCTCCTGCCTGTGTTTGGCAGTCGTACACGTGCCGCCTCCGCCAGCATTGCCCGAGCAAACGCAACCACGCGAGTGGCATGAAGCGGGTCCGCATCCTCCCGGGAGCGTACGGACTGTCCGTACCCCTCTTCATCTCGCGCCATAAGGCCCCCGGCGACCTTGGCGTTCATTATTGGCGGGAGGAGATCGTGTTGGGTGGTTGTGAGGTGGTCCTGGTTTTGCCACTGAAAAAAAAAAGAAAGGACTGTGTGCGCTGAAATTCACCTAAAAAAAAGAGGATGCCTGTCGTTTGGATTTAACTTGAATTTAAAAAATGAATTTGAAGTGAGATTGCTAAATCCAAGCCGGCCTAATGGCAGGAGGCGTTTGCCCATAGTGGTGGTAGGGGGTGGGTTATACATCCGCAACACAAGATATAAAATGTGACCGACCGACAACCGACAACCGGCAACCGATAACGGTCACATCCGACAACCGACCACCGCGACGCACACTGTACGCACCATGTAGCAGTCGCCGATGGTCTCTACCTTGTACACGCCGTACACGTCGGTTAGGCTGCCGTACGCGCGGAGGCAAAAGAGGGTCGGTTGGCAGGATAGATGAAAGAAGCGAGGAAGACATAGCAGCAGTAGCAGTAGCAGTAGCAGCACACATTTACATTTACACACACAATACACACACATACACACACATACACACACATACACACACATACACACACATACACACACATACACACACACACACAAAGAAACACAAAAACACAAACCGACAGACAGACGCAACCCCCCCACCTCTTCCAGGCCCCCCCTCCACACACACAAACACCCCCTACCTGTCCAGTCGCGTGTAGAGGTCATTGAGGAAGATCATAACGGTGGCGGGAAGTACCTCTCGGCACATCTCCGTGAAGCCTTTGATATCTGGTTGGTTGGTTAGTTGGTTGGTTAGTTGTGGAGGTTGGTGATTATGTTAGATGCAATGACAGGCCTACCTTGATCACGTGCCCTACCTCTATTGACCCCTGTCGGCCCCCCGAAACCGCCAAACACATACATACATATGCATACACATGCAATTTGTAGCTTGCTATTTCAATTAAATTGAAACGCTATTATTTAAATAACAAAATTGTTGGAACATAAATCGCGATGAAAATAGCAGAAGCAGCTGTTTTGGAAGTTGAAGATCCAGTAGATAGCACGGTCTCAAAATGCATTTACATGCATACATACGTTCATATACATATTATACCCGATTTGCGCAAAAATGGGTGCGTGAACTGCCCTCCTCACACACACACACACACACACACACACACACACACACACACACACACACACACACACACACACACACACACACACACACACACACACACCCTCTCCCCTGCACCCTGTCACCCACCTGCGAACAGCACTGTGATGCATTCGTGTGATGTGGCCACTGCTGCCGGGTCCTGTTGCAAGGATGCGCGTATGTATGTACGTATGTATGTATGTTGTTACAGGGTGGTTAACTTCGCCAGCGGCCCCCTTTCCCGGGGCAGTCCCTGCTCTCCCCTGCTAGAGGGGCACCCTAATCCGTCACCCCATCCGACTTCAGAATGTATTCGTTGGGTTCGGCAACTCACCACCGGCATCCAACCAAATCTAGCGGATCAACGGCGCATCAACTTAGTTCCTGGTCAGCTCGCAAGATGATATTATCACGTCCTACATCGTCCATATGATGGGGGGCCACCTCCCATTTCATCACTCCTCAAACACCCGAGGAGCTGGCAGGCGGATTTGAACCCGGGTCGACTGGATCGACTGGGAGCAGAAGTCAGGCCTTAACTTCTGCCAGCCGCCTGCCTTGTATGTATGTATGTATAGATGGATGGTTGTACGTACGGATGTTGTACGTACGGATGTATGGATGTACGGATGTACGGAGGGTGTGGGGGTTGGGTATGGGGTGAAGGGGACGATGAAGGTGGCGGGGCGGTGTGCCCCCGGGGTAACCCCCCCAAACCTCCCTCAGACTGCCCCAAACCTCCCAACAAAAAAACAAAACAGGCCCCCCACACCCACACACACACGCACCCCCCCACACATGCGCACCTGGATGTGCCGAAGCAGCTGTAGCCCATTACGTTGCCGCTCCGCCGTGGCGTTGCGCGCCGCCGTCATGTGCCGTACGACGTGACGGGGGAATATGTCCGCCAGCAGTCGCTGCTCCGCTTCTAGAACCCGTGTCAGCACCTCCTCAGCACGAACCTTGGATTTGGATTTGGATTTGGATTTGGATTTGGATTCGGATTTGGATGGATTTAGAATGAGAGAGGAGGGGAGGTGATGTGCTGAAGCCGTAGCTCTGATCCCGTTTAAGGGGGACAGGGGAGGGAATGGGTTTTATATAATACAGGTTAATTGTTAAATATTCTTTAGGATTATTAACGACCAGTTTTTCAACCCGCTCAAACTTCACCTGGCTGCTGACGTCAGTTTGGATGACCAAGATGACTCTCTCGCCGCTTATAGGGTCGTCCACGGGTTTCACGTGTACTTCATGCCACCGTACGGCACCCGTGTTCGTACCCGAGCTTTCCATTCCGGAGCACAAAGCCGTCGAGTTCATGAGCGTACAGTGCGCCGCGCCGTCGGCTGCCCCTACGCCGGCGGCAGCGGCGGGGGCGCCGCCACCGCCACGCCCGCTCACGGATGTCGTACCCCGCCGAAACGACGCCGCCGCCGACAGTGACGACGTTCCCGCCGGCCCCAGCCAATCCGCCGGGGGCCTATCCCCCGACGCCCTGCTTGTTGTGGCAGTGCCGTACCCCGGCAACGATGTTTCCGTACCGCTGTACAGCAGCATCCCGACGGGAGCCCCGCTGACGTCGAGCCAGGAAGACGAATCGTCGCCTGGCTGCAACGGATTGGATAGAGGGCTCTGATGGCCGCGGCCGCCGCTGCGGATGCTATGCAGGGAGGAGGAGAGGCTCGTTTGGAGGCGGAGGCCTCCCGCCGGGGGCCCGCCGCCGCCGCCACCGCTGCCGCCGCCAACGCCAACGCTTCCCCCGGCAAGCACCGATCGAAGCATCGCCCTCATGCGCGATCTCGGATCTTGATAGTATTGGCTTTGCGAAGTCCTACGGAAGCTTCCACGGGACGTGTACGACACGGAGGCGTAGTTACGCTCCGCAGCTAACGCCGTGGCTGGCGCAAGCATCGGCGGCGCCGAAACCACGGCAGCGACGGTGGAGTCGGTAGCTCGCCCGCCTCGGTCGGAGCCGCTTCCGCCACCGGCGGCTGTTGGCAGCTGCTGCTGCTGCTGCTGCGGCGGCGGCGGCGGCGCTGCAGCCGGCGGCGGCGGCGGCGGCTTGACGGCGGAGTTGGAGTCCGCTTCAGGGAAGCGATCAACGGCGACAGATCCGGCCCTGGGCGACAAGCTGATGGACACTGGCCGAGATTCTCGAAAGCTCAGGTTCCGTGTCGTACGCCGCGGACGCTCAAGAGATTCAGAGTTCGCTCGGCTCAGCAGCGACCGACGCGGCGATCGCAGAGTAAGCGGCACGTGGGATGCCGACGCCGATGCCGACGCTGATGCCGCCTGACCGGCCGGCGTCAACCGTGACGCTAGCTGCGCGCTTTGGTGTTCTGCAGAAAGCACACACCCCCGTCTAATCTGACCGCCGCCGCCGCCACCGGTGCGGCCGCAACACCCCGCCACCTCCTGCTGCGCGACCGTGGCGGGCTGGAAGCCAGCAGAGACTGCTACGCCGGTCCTGGCGGCGGCAGCGGCGGCGGCGGCTGCGGCGGCGGTGGCGGGCGGAAGAGAGCCTTCACTCACCGGTTGAATACGGAAACGGGAGCTAGGAGGCCGCTGCCACGAGGAAATTGGGGACGCAAGCCCCGGGGACGCCGCCGCCGCCGTCGCCATCGCCGTCGACGTCACCGCCGTCGCCGCATTAGAATTGCAGTAACCGTTACCGTCACCGCTGGCACCAGCGCTCATCGCAGCGGCGGTTAGGCCTGCCGTACTGCCCACTTGCAGCCAGTGGCTCAAAGGCATCGGCGGCAGCATCGGCGCGGCGGCGGCGGCGACGGCGGCGGCAGACACTTTGCCTGTCATGACGTTTGTGAGATCGAGGCTGGCGTAGGTGGGTACCAGCCCCGGGGGCCTGGTGTCCATAAGGGATGGGTCGCGGGACGAGTTGCCGCCGCCGCCACCGTTCGGGAAGGTGTAGCCGTTGGCCGTCCCATGGGTCATTGTTGTCGTCGTCGTCGTCGTCGTCATCATCATCATTGTCGTCGTCATCATCACAGTGGCCTCCGCCGCCTCTGCCTCCGCCGCCGCTGCTGCCGCCGTGGCGTCGTTCGCCTCTTCGCCGGCGGTCCCAAGAAGGAACATGCCGCGGCGCGAACAGGCTGCCGCACCGCCGCCGCCGCCGCCGCTGCCGGCACCACCGGCACGGCCACCGCCGGCATCCAGCACCAGCTGAGAGAAGACCGACCCGTGGTTCGCAATCCAGCCTGCCGCCGCTGCCGCCGTTGGCCCATTCTGTGCCGGGGCTGCTAGGATCTGGCAGGGCGTGGGCGTGACGTCAGCGTCGGCGCCGGCTGCGCTTGCAGCGGGTACGACAACACCCACAATGCTGGGCAAAGGAGTGGCTGCAATTTCAGGCGCTGCGGCAGCATCGGTGGCGCCGGCGGTTGTGGCAGTGGCAGCGGCAGCAGATTTGGCGGCTGCGGCTGCGGCTGCGGCTGCGGACGGTGCCCAGATGCGAGGGGGCGACTGCAACCCTTGGCACATCGACTCACCGCCGCTGACGCCGCTGTTGATGCCGTTGCTACCTCTGCCGTCGCCGTCGCCGTCGCCGTCGCCGTCGCCGTCGCCGTCGTTGCTAGCTGTCCCGCCATGACCCGTTCGATCTATGAGCCGCTGCTGCCCCTCAAGCTGCTGCATCAGACGTTCCACGACGCCGGCGGCGGCGGCGGCGGCGGCGGCGGGGCCGGCAGTGGCAGCAGCTTGAGGGGCGGCGGCGGTGGCGCTGACAGTCATCAGAAGTGTAGCGTGTGGACAGGGCAACAGTCTGCCGCTGCCACCGCCGCCGCCACTGGTTTGCAGGCTACAGCTGCAGCCGCCGCCGCCCCTGCGTTGCGAGCTCGTTCTGGTGCTGCCGCCGTCGCTCGTCCCGCCGACCATAACGCCGTCTCCAACTTCATCTGCCGGGCCATTGGTGTCAACGCCGTGCTTAGGGCCCAAGTCCGGGTACCGTACGACAGCTACAGTGCGGTCCCCGGCGCCGCCACGTCGACGGCGGCGGCGGTAGCGGCCGCCGCCGTCGGTCTCCGTATCCGCGTCGGCTGCCGCATTGGCGTCCTCCATGTCTCTACCGTAGACGGAGTCTTCGCTCCCGCTATTCCCGCTGCTGCCGCGGCGGCGGCGTTGGCAGCGGCGGCGGCGGCGGCGGCGGCAACGGTTGGTGCTGTTACTGCTGCCCCTGCTGCCGGCGGCACGAGGTAACGGGAGGGGGGAACGGTCCCCCCTCCCCGTGTCGTACACCTGTCCAGCGCCTGTCCAGCGGCGTATTTCGCGTCCATTATTATTAGCAGCATAATCACCAAGCTAAAAAAAGGTTTTAATGGTAAAAACATAAACCCAGGTAAATCCTGGTTCTCGCCCGAAGCATAGCATAGCATAGCATAGCATAGCATAGCATAGCATAGCATAGCATAGCATAGCATAGCATAGCATAGCATAGCATAGCATAGCATAGCATAGCATACAATACCATACCATAGCATACAATACCATACCATACCATACCATACCATACCATACCATACCATACCATACCATATGTATGTATATATACATGTATACATACCTGTATATCTGTACCCAGATATACAAGTATGTAAAACCCATTTCCGCGACGCCGGGCCAGAAGGGGCCACACCGCCAACTTCGAGAGACAGCAGCTGCCGGGCACCCGCACCCGCACCCGTGGCGGTGAGAGGCGGACAACAGCAGTAGACACGCGGGGATATGTGGGGGCCCCAGTTTCGCGTCTTGTTTTATATATAGCTCAATAGCGGCTAGCCATGACCCGTGGGCCGTTAAGGCTGTGAGGGGAAAAAGCTAGGCTTTTGCATTTTAGAATTGTTCATTTTTTGCAGTTTATGTACGTGTGTGTTTCTTGTGTGGGGGGTGGGGGAGAGAGAGGGGCGAACAGGCCCCGCAGAAGCGGAGTTGCCACATCATCCTCATCCTCATCCTCATCATTAGCAGCAGCAGCAGCAGTAGCAGCGCCAGGCAGCAATAGCAGTAGCAATAATAGCAATAATAGCAGTAGAGGCAGCAGTAACAGCAACATAAGCAACAGCAGCAGTAGCAACAGCAACAGTAGCAATAGCAGCAGTAGCATCTTACCGCCCAAGTTACTTGCACACCGGGACAATGCGGCTGGTGTGGCTACGGATGAGGGGGGTTTGGATGTCCATACATACGGAGCGCGGGGGCCGGAATTGTGGTCACTCAGAGGCTGACTGCCCTGCCGTACAAAGTCCAGGGAACCCGACGGGAACTCCTCGTACCATGCCTCCAGTACAGCAGAGATGCGTGAGGAGGACTGTTGTACAGCGGGACGATGGTGACCAACCGAAAGGTTTGTAGGATTCGTAAGGTCAGGAGAAAGGTACGGTAGGGGTAGGTACGGTTGCAGTACATGGACAACTGAATCACGGTTGTCGTACGACCTTACGTACAGGTGTGCAGAATGTCGAAAGGTGTTGTACAGACCAGTACAAGATTGTAGACTAGTACAACAGGTACTAGTAGAGGAGTCAGTCACTTTAAAGCATTCCCCCTAGCATTAAGCTAAATTAACCGACGAAGCTATTAAGTATCCACCCGCCGACCCCAAGCCGCAATCAGAACCCAAACCACTCACACCCCGCAACCCACCTCGGTCCGCAGCGGTGGCAGCCTCTGCTGCCGCTGCTGCTGTACTTGCTGTTGCTGCTGAAGGGGGTGTTGCTGCTGTTGCTGTTGCTGTTGCTGTTGCTGCTCGTTGTCCAAGCGCCGCAATGCCAACGGCGACCGTGGCGACAGTGGAGTGGATGTGGAGCGAACACGCCGACCATGTCCACCATACACATTACGGCACGGGCCACCAGCACCACCACCGCCACCGTCGTCAGCTGTGCCCCGGGCGCTGGGTGGTCCGCTGCCGTGATTGCCTTTATCCCCCCCTGGAGGGGCCATGGGGGGTCGTGAGCTCTGGAGCTGATCGGCAGACTCCGAATCGCCAGGTTGCGGCTGATGGCCTCGAGTGAGGCGGTTGGCAGAGGTGTTGGCGGTTACGGTTACAGTGGGAGTGGCCGAGGCTGTGGCGGGCGAGGCGGTTGTGTCATCCGTGTCCGTGAACAACTGGAAGAGGGTGCGACCTGGAAGTGGTTGGCAGTTGGGTGCGGTAGTTGGTGGTTGGACGGTTGGTACCCAAGCTGGGTGGACCTCCTTCCTCCAGCCCGCCCTCCTTCCCCTCCAGCAATCAAAACCCCCAACCCTTCCCCATCACCCCGGGGGGTCTGCTCGCCTTTTCTGAAAACCACTCGGGCAGTTGTTGCTGCTGCTGGCACCGCACACAGCCACATGTACGACAAGTAACGGGCCCCAAGGGCTTCGGGACTCTTACTAACCCCGGGCCCCCACTCGTGCGGAACTTGTAACTCTTGTTACATGTAAAACCGACCCCAGAGGTCCCCATCCCCCCCAGAGCCCTCTTCCCCCCCAGGGCCAAGCGTCACCACGCTAACCCCCCCTCTCCCCCTCCGATTGCTTCTCCCCCCGGAGACCCGGACCGCATCTACCTCCATCCACCACCGGATTGAGCAGGCTCAAGTCTGTAAGCAAGTCCGCCAAACCCCGCCTCTGGAGGCCTCCTGTCCTTGCTTCCCCCTCCACCTCCACCTCCTCATCCTCATCATCCTCCTCCTCCTGTCCCTCCGCCTCCTTGTCGTCCTCCATGTCGTACTCATGTACGACACCATCCCGTGAGTGGGGAAAAGGTCCCGGCTCGACGCTGCCGCCGCGGCCATCCCTGTTCACTGGCTCCTGATGGGCCCGGCCACTCACGCGGGCTAAATGGCCACTGACCCATGGGTAACCTGTAGTCCTGCACGACGCCTTTTCCTGCTGCTGCTGCTGCTGGTCTACCGCGGCATTCAGGCTCTCCACAAATCTCGCTCGGAGATCCCGCGGTCCAGATGACGAAAGCTGTGGTCTCGGAGCCGCCGCCGGAGGAACCCCGCCGGCGCCATTGTACTTGAGTGTCACCGCTTCTGCACACGATGGCGCCTGCTGGGTGCTGCTGCTGCTGCTGCTGCTGCCAAGAAACGCCCGATTGCCGTCAGTGGCTCCGGCTCCGGATGCCGATCTGGATCGTTCGCCTGCCGTCTCTGGTAGCGAGGCGAGGTGAGATGACCCGTGGGTCACTCGAGCTGCCCCGGGAGTATCGGCATCACAGTGCGGCGATGGAGGCTGCGGCTTAGCTTGCTGCTGTGCTTGTGGTGCTGGTCCTAATTGTTGTTGTTGCTGATGATGATGATCCTGTATCTGGTATTGCTGCTGCTGCGGCTGTTGTGCGGACGGAGGAGGCGGGGAAAGGGTTGAGACTAGAGCTGAAACGGGCTGGTGGTGCTGCTGCTGGTGCCTTAAGGCTGCGCGAACCTGCTGCAGCACAGAGCTACTGCTCTGGGACTGGGTGCTTCGCTGCGGGTGGTGATGCTGCTGCTGCTGCTGCTGCTGCTGTGGCCGCGGTGGAGGGTGCTGCGGGTGTGAATGCGAATGCCGCAGCGACCGTTGCAGCGACCGTTGACTCCAGAACACAGTGCTGCTGCGACATCCCCCCCCTCCCCCTCC